TATTACGTACGCTAAGGCATTGCTGTCTTGGTTTAACCCTTTCAGGGTCCGTCCCGTAGATCTACGGCTTTACGTTCAGGGTCCAAACCATAGATCTACGTCATGAGCTCAGCTCACTCTGATAAACTGAGTGGTACATTTGGGCCTAGATATGAGAGAATACATATATGTGGTATGTGTGCACCACATAAAACAAATCCTGCAGCACACTGTGTATAATGAGAGAAAAAAAACTGAAATCATGATTTTTCGATTAAAACAGCAACTTTGCAGTGTTTTTTCGTATGTTTTTTATAGTTGTATTTGCGATTTCTTGGTCTCATTTGATAGAATGGAAGACATATTACAGAAATAGAGATGATTTTGATTGGTTTTAGCACTGGAAATGGCTTGAAACTGAGCTAAAAGTAGCGGAAATGTTAAATTTTTGCCGATATTCAAGAGTAAACAAACGACCTCACACGTCTAATACACGCCAGCTGGTGGGTCTAATATACATTCACAAATATGGTGATGATATTTATACAATTATTACAGTATTGCATAACAGTAAATCTTCTATTTTTTGGTGTGAATAAAAATTCATTATGTGAATAAAAAATCAAAATGGAATTTATTTGTAAAGCCTCAAAACGTAACTAATGAACAGAAAAAGTGTTAGTTTAGTTCCAGGAATACCTACATTGTTTATTCTGGACCCTATTTTGAAATTGGAATATTTTGAGCTTTGTGTTAAATTGGCAAAATTAACAATTTCCGATCACTTTATTTTGTAGTTGAAACAGTTGACTTGGCGATTTCTTGCACTCAATCGATAGAATAGAAGTAATACTAGTGAAATAGCTAAGAATTTGGTTGACTGGAATAATGTAATTGGCCTAAAATGGGAGTCAAAGTCGGCAAAATCGCCGATTCGTAAATATTGCTGACACATCAAAATTCGCGAGAGCATAATTTCGTCAATTTTCCATCAAATTTCGTACTTTTTGTTTTATTACCTTCACAAAAAGAATCTCTACCATTTCATAAGAAAAAATAACAAATTTTTTTTTTGAAAATTCTTGGACACTGGGGCACCACTTCAGATTTGGGCCTTGGACCCTGAAGGGGTTAAGGTTATTGCTTATCATAACCCCCAAGTCCTTTTCGCAATATGTATGGCTAAGTCCTACATTATTTAACTTATAAGTGCTAGTGTTATGGACACTTCCGAGCTTCAGAACCTTGCATTTATCTACACTGAACTGCATCTGCCACTTTTCTGACTAGGTACTGTGTTTGTCTAAATCCTCCTGAAGTTCCCTGATATCTACGTCTGAATCAATTATCCTACCTATCTTTGTGTCATCGGCGAATTTGCTCACTTCACTAGTAATTCATTGATATATATTATAAATAACAACGGGCCCAAGACTGATCCCTGTGGAACCAATTAGTAAATTTAGTAATGGGAATGGTTTTATCTCAGCATGATACACTGTTTCTATAAAAGCTCCTATACTGGCAGAGTATTTCAGGCAAACTTAGGACTAACTTAAGATTTATTAGGCAATAACTATATTAGGAATTTTATGTTTACAGACATCTGGGTGAGTGTAAATGTAAAATAGGGAGAATTACAGATAACGAGACTAAGTCTATTTTGTTTCGGACGTGTTCACGATACAAAAAAAAGAGAATAGGTGGCTTGCAATCATGGTGTAATAGCATGTATGCTAAGGAAGTAACTGGCAAAGTAGGCAGATGGATCTTCAACTTTCTAACCAATCGAACACAGAGTAATGACAAACTGAGTTAAGTCAGAGGTTGCCACAGTGAAAAGCTGTTCCACAAGGCACACTACTCGCCCCCATCCTGTTCCTCATCCTCATATCAGACATACACAGAGATGTAAACCACAGCACCGTGTCTTCCTTTGTAGACGATACTGGAATCTGCACGAGTGTCATCCACTGAGGACATAGTAAATCTCCAAAAAAATATAAACCAAGTTTGTCAATGATCAACAGAAAATAATATGTTTAATGAGGGCATATATCAGTTACTCTGTTATGGAAAACTGAAGGAAATAACAGATAGAATGGAGTATACTACAAACTCTAACCACACAACAGAGTGGAAAAGTAGTATGAAGGACTTGGGAATGTTAATGTCAGAGGACCCCACCTTCAAGGATCACAACAGTGTCACTATCAAATGTGTGAGGAAAATAAGGGGATACCTGGAGAGGGTCTCAGGGGTCAGAGCCCCTGCAGCCCAGTCTATGACAAGGCCTCAAGGTGGATCAGGGCCTGATCAACCAGGCTGTTACTGCTGGCTGCAAGCAAATCAGCGTACAAACCACAGCCCGGCTGGTTACCTGGAGTTTACCTGGAGAGAGTTCCGGAGGTCAACACCCCCGCAGCCCGATCTGTGACCAGGCCCCATGGTGGATCAGGGCCTGATCAACCAGGTGTAGACAGCCTGTACTGTCTGCACAGCCTATGCTGTCTGCCAGCTGAGTTCATATTTCGCGCCATGCTGGTGCTGCCACCTATAGGCTTACCACTTCAGTATGCCCACCCCTGCATCCGCCTCACTCACTCAGCGGCCTAGAAGCAGTCAACAGTCCTACCCCCCTCTCTCCCTCGTGGGCATGGCCCTCCCGGGCCATGGGCACTTAACACACAAGCCTGTGTACCCACCACGACTTTGCAAATAAAGTAAGAAGCCTCCGAAGACATTTATCATTGAACCCCGCTCTGCAAGAGCCACCAAACAAACGGGTTATACAGGCTGTTACTGCTGGCTGCACACAATCCAACGTACGAGCCACAGCCCGGCTGGTCAGGTACCGGCTTTAGGTACCTGTTCAGTGCCTGCTTGAAGACAGCCAGGGGTCTATTGGTAATCCCCCTTATGTATGCTGGGAGGCAGTTGAACAGTCTTGGGCCCCTGACACTTATTGTGTTGTCTCTTAACATGCTAGTGACACCCCTGCTTTTCATTGGGGGGATGTTGCATCATCTGCCGAGTCTTTTGCTTTCATAGCGAGTGATTTTCGTGTGCAAGTTCGGTACTAGTCCCTCTAGAATTTTTCAGGTGTATATAATCATGTATCTCTCCCGCCTGCATTCCAGGGAGTACAGGTTCAGGAACTTCAAGCACTCCCAGTAATTGAGGTGTTTTATCTCCGTTATGTGTGCCGTGAGGGTTCTCTGTACATTTTCTAGGTCAGCAATTTCACCTGCTTTGAAAGGTGCTGATTAGTGTGAAGCAATATTCCATGCCTCTCCAGCACCTTCTTGAAGATAGCCAGGGGACTACTGGTAATTCACCTTATGTATGCTGAGAGGCAGCTGAATAGTCTTGGACCCCTGACACTTATTGTGTGTTTCTTAGTGTACTCGTGGCACCCCTGCTTTTCATCGGGGGGATGTTACATCTCCTGCCAAGTCTTTTGCCTTCATAGGGAGTGATATTCATGTGCAAATTTGGAACTAGTCCCTCTAGGATTTTCCGAGTGTGTATTATCATGCATCTTTCTTGCCTGCATTCCAGGGAATACAAATGAAGGGACTTCAACCATTCCCAGTAATCTAGGTGCTTTATCATACTTATACACGCTGTGAAAGTTCTCTGTACATTCTCCAGGTCTGCAGTTTCACCTGCCTTGAAAAAGGGACATTAGTGTATGGCAATATTCCAGCCTAGAGAGACCATGTGATTTGAAGAGAATCATCATGGGCTTGACATCCCTAATTCTGAAGGTTCTCATTATCCATCCAATCATCTTCCTAGCATATACATAATAAGAACTTTCAAACATGAGATGCTATGTCAATGAAGATCCATTTTAAATCACCTGTTCTCTCTAGGCTGGAATTATTCTATACACTAACTGCTCCATTCAAGAAAGGTGAAATTGCAGATTTAGAAAATGTACAGAGAACCTTCACAGCATATTAAAGTTCAGTCAAGTACCTTAATTACTGGGAATGTTTCAAGTCACTTGACCTGTACTCCCTGGAATGCAGATAAGAGAGATGTATCATAATTTACACCTGGAAAATCCTAGAGGGACTGGTCCCAAATTTGCACACCGAAATCACTCCCTACAAAAACAAAAGACAGATGGTGCAATATACCCTCAATGAAAAGTAGGGTTGCCATGAGTACACTACAAGGAAAGACAGTAAGTATCCAGGTCCCAAGACTGTTCAACAGCCTCCCAGCATACATATGGGGAATTACCAGGCACTATAGGGAATTACCAGGTCCATGGCCTGGTAGGAAACGCTCTCGCTTCACACACTGAGTGTCCATGGCTCAATCCCCAGCACGGGTGGAAACATTGGGTGTGTTTCCTGACACCTGCTGTCCCATTCATCTAACAAGTAAGTAGGTACCTGGGTGTTAGTTGATTGGTGTTGGTCGCATCCTGGGGGACAAGACTGAGGACCCAAATGGAAATCAGACAGACAGTCCCTCGATGATGCACTGACTTTCTTGGATTATCCTGGGTGGCTAACACTCCGGGATTAATAATCCAAACAAAATCTTATTTTATCACTTGGCTGCCTTCAAGAGAGAGCTGGACAGATACCTGAAGTCAGTACCCTATCAGCTGGGCTGTGGTTCATACGTTGGACTACATGCAGCCAGCAGTAACAGCTTGGGTGATGAGGCCCTGATCCACCGCGAGGCCTGGTAATGGACTTGGCCAAGGGGGCGTTGACCCTGGGAACACCCTGCAGGCAGCAGGTAGATAGCTATGAAAATAAGGACAACGTACAGAGTACAAGTTTATCAAAATAAGGTAAAACAGTAAAACAAATTAGTTGAGTAAATATAAACAATCCAAGGTAACAATACATGGTAAATGAGGTAAAAAAAAAATTACACAATGAACTAGCAAACGGGATATAAAAAGACAAAAGCATTATTTATGTAACTAAAAGCCTTCCTCTACATAATCAGCGATTAACACATTATGTACCGGCGAAACTCCAACTATTTACCTGTAATTATAAGAAGGAAACTTTTGACTCTCCCTCAAGAGAGTTTTATATAACGCGAGCACCTGACGTGCACCACCTTCCATGCTCTTGTTGTTGTTGAAGGTGTTAAGGGCCACTGACGGCTTACGCTCTGTCCCGCTCTATTACTTGATCTTCTTCTTCTTGTAAATTGTGAATTCATTACCTCTGTAACTTGCTCAGCTATCAAAACTTTGAGGCCCAGTCCCTGGACCCATTATGTACCTCTGTAATCTTTTGACTACCGCCCACAGGATGGGTATGGGGTGCATAATAAACATATTAAACTAACTTCTTCTTGGTGTTTTTAGGGCTACTGTGCAATGTGAACAGACTGACTGATGTTGTAGTGGCCAGGCTTAGGCTTGGTTACAAGTACTTCTGGCAGTTTGGGAGACACACAGATGATGATAAAACTAAATGTAAATTATGTGATCAGGCATATGGTCACTCTCTTGAACACTATGTGCTTAATTGTCCACTCATTGAGGAATACAGAGACAGACAGTATAATAACCTATGTGACATGTCAAGATATCTTATTAATGAAAATAAGATACCAGATATACTAAGCAAATATCCTAAATTTGCTTGTAACAGATAAGTGAACTATAGATATGTAGATATAAATCCATATGTATTCCTGTTAACCCTTTGGGGCCTAGTTCCTAGGCCTTTTGTGTATCCATATGCTCTCGCGCTACCGTCCACAGGATGGATATGGGGTGCACAATAAACTAGCCACTTCGGTGGCAAAATCTAAATCTAGGGCTACTGACAGCGTACGCCGTTATCTGTTTCTTGATCTCCAGGAATAATTGTTAAGTTATTGTTGTTGAGATAACACAGCTTTGAGAGCATTTAGCCGGGCTTTGCATTTCTTGTTTAGTTGTGGTATAGTGGATTTGTTAAAGGGTACATCTACACCAAGATATCTGTAAGTTTTAACGTAGCTAATGATTTCACCCTGCAAATAGATGGGTGGGGGACCCTTGGAGTTAATGCAAAATGAAGCTCTCAGGATTATTCTTGGCTGTCCCAGATCTACAAAAGTTCTTAACATGAGGAAGGAGCTTGGTATTTCTAGTATCAGTGATAGGATTGCTGAGATTAACACTGTACTCGGTATTAGAATGTTGAGAAACGAACCAGACACTGTCACAATGAATCTTACCAAGTGTCTAGAGGTAAATACACACAGATCTAAATGGATTGTGAAAACGTGCAATTGCATTAAGTTTTATAACCTGCATGAACTGTATCACTGTAGGCAACAAGAGCATTTCACCCCTCCGTGGAAGATGTGTTCATTGAAATACCAGACGTATACTGTGAATTTCATATAACCTGTAGTTAGTAAGTAAGTAAGTAAGTAAGTTTATTCAGGTATACACAAATACAGTTACATAGAATTATCATACATAGCAGCATATGTGTAGAGAACCTAGGATAACCCAAAAAAGTCAGACAGAGTGACTTATTTCCATTGGGGTCGAATATACACAACGAGAAGCAATTATTACTACAGAAAAAGCGTCCTTCCTCCAAAATTTCCACCAGTCAACTATAGTGATAATATAGCATTTATTGTGGTGGAGACGAAAAAAAACTAGAAAAGCTAGATACAGCGATTGATAAACAAGGGTTGAGGCTCGACCGTTCGTCATTGTAGGAGCTGCCAGAAATCACCGGTTTCTTCAACACGCAAGACTTAAGAAATCGTAAATTGCAAATATGACCGCGGTTCAATTTCCCGGCCGGGTATGGTTCCAACACGCACAGTTATACTTTTGTATCAATCAAATCACATATATCGGGAAGATAATTCATGGTAGAATCCTTCATGTGTTCCAAATCACCGACAGTATGTTTTAAATAAGTGACCACTGAATCAGATGAGACGACTGGTCCGACCACCTCAACTAGTCCAGAACCGTTGAGCTGTCCGATCCCTTGAACTGGTCCGAACCTTGACTGGTTTTCAAACGGATTCGTGGACAATAAAGCAGACATGTAAACGGATGGGTTGTAGCTCCCTTATCAAACACAAACAATAAATATAAATCAGGAACGTACACGGTAAGCTGTCCAATGTACAAGTACAGTTAGAAATAGAAATACAAATAACTAGAGCTTCATTTAAAGAGGTTATTAATAGAATATTCAAGAGGTTGCTAGTAGAATTACAGTAAATCAACCATTCAAATCATTATGAAGCTCTGTGTAGTCTGCGGTCAATCAAACAAACGGGCTTCCACATGGATAAATTGTCATTTTTGTGGAAATTGGTGTCACGCCCCTTGTGCAGATATCCAAGAACTATCTACAAGCAGTATTAAAACAGGGAAGTGTTTTTGGGTATGCCCAATTGAGATAAATCTGTGGACTAAAATCACAAGGGTATTAAAAGAGGATAACATCAAAGCTGCTTTCATAGACAACCTGGAAGCTTTCTACAACAGATGGGAACATAAAAAGTCTGGGCTGAATGGTACTGCCCTTGATACTGGCCATGTAGTCAGAAACTGTAAGGCTGGAGGTGATGTCCTGGTAGTCAGTAAATGTGGGGCTGATAGTGCTGTCCTGGGAGACAGTAATGGTGAAGCTGGAGGTGCTGTCCTGGGAGACAGTAATGGTGAAGCTGGAGGTGCTGTCCTGGGAGACAGTAATGGTGAAGCTGGAGGTGCTGTCCTGGGAGACAGTAATGGTGAAGCTGGAGGTGCTGTCCTGGGAGACAGTAATGGTGAAGCTGGAGGTGCTGTCCTGGGAGACAGTAATGGTGAAAGCTGGAGGTGCTGTCCTGGGAGACAGTAATGGTGAAGCTGGAGGTGCTGTCCTGAGAGACAGTAATGGTGAAGCTGGAGATTTTGTCCAGGTAGTCGGGAATTATACGCAGGAAGGAATACATATAAATGACCTCATAGGGGACAGGGGCCGTAGTAGGGAAACAAGTGTAGTCAAAGGTAAGATAAAACCAATATTGCAAACTAGAAATACCACAGGAAATAGCAAACAAGAGGACTCCACTAGCAATAGTGAGGATATATTACCAAAAACAACTGGTGGGAGCTCCATTGTTGGTGCTAGGGAGGATAGGAATAAGACAGGGAAACATGCACCAACAGGGAATACAGTCACAGAAACCCAAGGCAAACGGAAACCAAGCCTGTGCACATACTATGCACTTGGACCATATCTGCAGGCATGGGAAATCTGGAAAAACAGACGGGACGTGCAACTATGACCACCCTAGAAAATGCCATGCCCACATGATAACAGGAAAATGCAAACTCCCTTCCTGTAAGCTTTTTCACCCTGAACTGTGTACCTCTTCAGTACAAGAAAGACTGTGCTATAACTTAAATTGCCAGGCACACCATCTAAAGGGGACAAAAAGATACAAAACATCCAGGCCATGGGAAAACCTGGGTAGCCACAGCCACTCAGGAGGGAGAGGTTTTTTAGTGCCAGGAAGGAAAAAAAACTGGCAGGAAATGGCAGAAATCATACACCAAATCCAGTCATTCCAGGAATGGAACCAGAGTCGATGGCCTCCACTCCAAACCAACAGATACAGATACTAATGCCGGAAAAAAATCCCCCCCAGTACCAACAACACCACCAGTCCGATGACATTCTTTTTTTTGCAAATATACAGGGTCTAAAGCCAGCAACAAACAACAAAATACCTTTCATCCGTGGACTGCTTGCAGAGGCAAAGGCAATGTTCGCGGCTTTCACTGAGACTCACATAAAGGATCACTTGGACAACGAAATATGGATCCCAGGTTACAACCTATACAGATGTGACAGAGTGAACAGGCAAAAGGGTGGGGGGGTTGGCCTGTACATTGCAGAGTCACTTGTTTGCACAGAACTGCTTAATGCCTCAAATGATGTAGTGGAAGTTTTAGCAGTAAAGGTCGAGAACCAAAACCTAGTCATTGTGGTAGTCTACAAGCTTCCGGATGCAACATCCCAGCAATTCCAGGAACAACTGTTAAAAATTGACCACTGTCTGGAAAATCTTCCAGCTCCTGCACCCAACATCTTGCTCCTGGGGGATTTCAACTTAAGGCACCTAAAATGGAGGAATATAGCAAATAATATTGTTGCAGTAATAACACCAGGAGGCAGCTCTGATGAAAACTCACACTCACACGAGCTTTTAAATCTCTGCACAAAATTCAATTTAAACCAGCAAATAATAGATCCTACTAGACTGGAGAATACACTAGACCTCATCTTCATCAACAATGATGATCTGATAAGAAATGTCACCATATCAAAAACAATATACTCAGATCACAACATAATTGAGGTTCAGACATGTATGCGTGGAGCCCCAGACCGACATAATGAGACTAGTCACTAGGGAGCATTCACCAAATTCAACTTCAATAACAAAAACATAAAGTGGGACCAAGTAAACCAAGTCCTAACCGATATAAGCTGGGAAGATCTACTAAGCAACACAGACCCCAACTTATGCCTAGAACAGATTAACTTGGTGGCACTCGATGTATGCACACGGCTTATTCCTCTAAGAAAAAGGAGGAGTAGATGTAAAATAGAAAGAGACAGGCGCTCCCTTTACAGGCGACGGAAAAGAATAACAGAGCGGCTAAAAGTGGTCAATATATCTGAAATGCGTAGGGAGACACTGGTCAGAGAAATAGCAAGCATCGAACTTAAGCTAAAGGAATCTTATAGGAGTCAGGAATCGCGGGAAGAACTAAAAGCCATAAATGAAATCGAAAGAAACCCAAAGTATTTCTTCTCCTATGCCAAATCAAAGTCAAATTCAAATTCAAATTCAAATTCAAAGTTTATTCTCTATAAGGATTACAATGCTGAGTTTACAGAAATTTGGTTATTGTGTGGTTTACATGTAGTAAAATTGTGATTACAGAGTGTACCACTAGAACGCTTAGCATGGCCAGGCATTTCGGGCATACTTAGTTTTATTCTTAATTGTAAAATATTACAAATTATGAGGTAAGTTAGTATTATGGTTAAGTGACTAAATACTAGTTTGTGAGTTTAGCAATGTGAATGCTTTTGTTTTGGCACAGTACATAGTTTC